CCCAGCCCCCCCGGCACGTCGCCTCTGCCGTCTCCCTGCCCGCCGGCAGTGGCGGGCCGGGGCCAGCCCTCACCTGGCGAGTCGTAGCCCGTCCCCAGTCCCATGCTGCCGCTGATGCCCAGGTGCGTCATGGTGTTGGCCAGGTTGCTGGTGCTGTTGCCCCCGCTCAGGCTGGGGTACGCGGTCTCGTCCGGGTCGAGAGGGGTGGGCAGCGGGGAGGGGAAGTGCAGATTGGTGAGGTCGGGAAGGGAGCCACCCGTGTTGAGGGCCGAGGGGATGAGGGGGACGTTGGCAGGCTGATCCGGGGATGGAAATATGCTGGGGGAAAAGAAAGAGACACGCTCGGTGTGGGAACGCCGCTGCCTCCTCCAGCAACCCCTCCCCAGCAGCCTGGCCCCCTCCCGCCTCCAGCCCCTTTTCCGCAGCCACCCGTGGGCCCCGGCTGCCCAGCCCAGGACTTACTGGATCCCAGGGACTTCACAGGAGCGCGGACGGGCCGAGGATGAGGAGAGCTGCGAAATCAAAGAGGAGGAATGAAGCGAGGCCGGGATGCTGAACCTGCCAACCCTGGGCCAGCCAGGGTTTGAGGGCAGGAAGGAGGCAGAGCCACCCTGGTGTCGCAACGCCCGGCAGGCAGGAAGCCGGCAGCCGGGGCAGGGGGGCGCAGGGGTGATTTCCTGGCGGTCCTTCCTCCGCACCCACCTTCTTGGTGTCCCAGGGCTTCAGCGAATGCTTGTTGTCGTCGAAGGTCTCTTCAATGGGAGGCACTTGGAAAAGAAACACTGGCGAGGGGGGAGCAGAGGGTCAGCGCAGGGAGAGCAGCACGGCCCACCCGCACCCACCCCGGGGGCACCCAGGGGGGCGCAGGGGTGATTTCCTGGCGGTCCTTCCTCCGCACCCACCTTCTTGGTGTCCCAGGGCTTCAGCGAATGCTTGTTGTCGTCGAAGGTCTCTTCAATGGGAGGCACTTGGAAAAGAAACACTGGCGAGGGGGGAGCAGAGGGTCAGCGCAGGGAGAGCAGCACGGCCCACCCGCACCCACCCCGGGGGCACCCAGCGGTCCTGGGGGGGGGGGGGGGGGTGCGAGCCCTACGACCGCA